GCAAGCTGGGCCTACAAAGCCCGCCTGAAGGAACAAGTCAAGATATATGATAAAAGGGAAAGATTGCAATAATAAGTGCATGTGTGTGTGTGTGTGTGGTGTGTGTGTGTGTGTGTGTGTGTGTGTGTGTGTGTGTGTGTGTGTGTGTGTGTGTGTGTGTGTGTGTGTGTGTGTGTGTGTGGTGTGTGTGTGCGCGTGTCATGTGTGTGTGTCATGTGTGTGCGTGTCATGTGCGTGTCATGTGCGTGCATGTGTGTGTGTCATGTGCGTGTGTGCGTGTGTCATGTGCGTGTGTGCGTTTACATGTGCAAACATTGAGTCTTTGTGCAAACATGCATATACATGTTTTTCATGCATATCCATATCAATATCAACATCTAGCTATCCATCTATCACTAAATCTATCTATATATAAAACTTTACAAAAACCAGTAACTGCTTCATCAGATGCATATTAAAGTCCAGTTGCTTATAGAATATAGCTAATCCTGATCTACAGGAGGTGACTGGCAGGTTCTTTCTCTTAGAAAAAAATCAAATTATTCTCTGAAAGAAATATGAAAGATAGGAAACCCACCAGGTTGTTGTAGAATCCTCCACTTGACGACTGCTGAATGATCTCGATGAACTGACGCATGACCATAGCCGGCTCACATGCACCATTCAAAATAATGGCGTGAATCTGGTGGCCAGCAAGAATGCTGCTATTTTTGTTGATGGCTTCTACAGCCATAAACATCGCAAACACATTTCCCGGGGCCAGAAATTTGTTATGGATTCCGTCACTTCCACTTATGGGGAAGAGGCCTACAAGAGTCAGCTCTGGAAGATCACCTACTGGTAGCCAGTTGTCCCATCGGTCCTATTTAAAAAGAAACATCAAAGATATAAAAAGGGGCAAAATCAAAAGGAATATTCAGTTATAACCCTTTAGTTACATACTGGGTACTGGACTTTTTAAGATTTAAGCCTTATAAAGAAAACTTGGTAAAGACTTTTAAATTATATGCCTGTTGAATTATTCTCGTATATAATAATAATAATGATCTTTTCTGCATGAAAGATACATCTGCTCAAATATATCTAACAAAAATTCAGTAATACTTTAAATAAAAATAACACTGCATTCAACATATATTCACTTATAAAGGATATGTAGAACACAGTTTCCTAAATCTATAAAATGATGAGTTTGAAAAGAGCGGCACTCACCTCTAAGATATTAAAAAGGAAAAGGAAAGAGCAAGATAAAGAGGAAATAAAAAGAAAAAAGTAAAATACCTTGTTTTCTTTCATCCACTGACAGGCAACCTCATCTAGTGTTGAATTGGTCTTTGGTTGCTTTTCATTATAGGTGTGCATGAGGTCAATCAATTCAGTGTGGTTGATCTTTATCTTATGAAGAGCCTGGAGTAATTTTATTTTTATTATTAAAGTAGTATTATGTAATAAATGAAGTATGTATAAAAATTGTAAGGTATAGAACCTGTTTACTATCATTCTTCATATAGCACATATTTCATAAAATCAGTAGATACAAAGAGATACTATCAAGGAATAAAAAAAAAAACTCACATCATAAGCATATTTTGCATATCTTTTGAGCTTCTTCCATACAAACTTATGGAAGCGATGCATCTCATATTTGCACTGATATGGGCTTTTCCCATCAATCCTCTGGAATACAAAAGAAAATCATATAATAACTGGCAGTATACAAGAGAAATTTGTTGAAAAACAAAATAATATTGTCAAAATATGATACCCATATTCAACAATGCATTCTTTTTATATTCCCTGTATTGGAAACTAGCCAAGAACCAACTTGCACGGGGAATAGTGTCATCTAATAATGCAAAACAACCAACAGCATTGCTCACCACAGAACTGTCGATACATGGCGAAAAGGCAACAGACTGGAAGTCAAAAGGCTCCAGAAGAACAGATGGCCACCAGTGGAAAATGAGAATGGAACGCATACCATGAGGACCAGGGTAGTATGTGTTGTTACTAATGAACTTGTGATTGAGATTGGGGCCAATCCAGGCTACCCTTACATAGGCTTTCATGGTCTCAATTTGTTCACGGAGAAACTTGGCGATATTGAAATCTGCAAGAGAAAGAAATATATCTCATATCAGTGTTGTATATATTCATTCAAATTCATTCAAATGGATGGAAAGTCTGGGTAATTCATTCAAAATATTAAACTTTTTGACATTCTATTTTTTTTCATTTACATTAATTCATTAGTCAATGGCCTATGAATCAATGGTAAAAATGAAAACTACAAGAATAGCTACACAAACATCTCAAGTGCAAAGTCTCTTCAGAACATGAGAAGTGCAAGGATAAATGCAACAAAACTCAACATCTAAATACTTTCAATATCTTTTCTTTTTAATTAACAGCACAATTAGATCTAGCTTGTCTAACCATGAGCCACAATATAACTGGGTGTAAAAGGGGTTTGCAAGCCCTTATACATGAGTATTCTCCT